CTAATCGGACGAAACTGCGCAACGTGGCCGTTGAAAACTGCGCAACGCAGGGTTGACTCTGCTGGCTACCCTCCCCCTGGCTCGGAGTTACCCTAGCTTTCTGGAAAAATTGCATCATAATGCCCCCCTAACTGGAATAGACCCAGGATTTGGCCTAAACAATGACTCACGGGGATCAGCCAATGCACAAGTTAGAGTTTCTACCGACCCGAACAAGTATGGTACCAAATGACACCGCTCATGGAGGAACGAAATACTTGGTTAGCTTGGATGCGTACGATACGGATTTGATCCGCGACTATGGGCGTAGTAAGCGGCGCCAATTTCCAGCATATCACATGCCACCACGCCATAATGTAATCGTATGAAAAAGACAAGGATTCGTTCCGCCTCGCGTCGATGTCACACGTTTGCAAGTGAAAAATCGAAATTATCGATTAGCACAAAGAATTACTATAAGTTGACTGAGTGAATTCGCTGAACCAAATTCTGAGTATGTAAACGAAGTGCAAAAAGGTAAACGAACCTCCTCAAAGGCATCAATCGCGAAATACAATTTTGGATACGTAATTTCCTCACTTTCACCTTTGCTATCCATACTCCTTCTACTGGGAGATGGATACACCTGGAAATAAAATTAAATTGGAGATCGAAGTACTACAAAGCATGAAAGAAAATACAATAAGTTTATTCTATACCTTCTGACAGTTCTTTCGAATAATTTGCAGATTCTGTGGACTCGTCTTAGTACACACGGCACATGTCACATAGAAATCCAACTAAATGAACCAAATATCGCGAAAAAAACGGTGAAAGACTGCCAAAAACTTCAGCCTATTTACAGTGGCGCACAAAAATCAATATACCATTCGCTACCCTAACTCTAGAAAGACTGCAGATATTGAAATGGAAATCAAAAAAAATGTTACGCAACAAATGTTTGTTTCACTGCGCAGCGCCAAAGCTGATGTGCTCTTCTTTTGAGTTTTATTTTGGGGCTTTATTTCTTCCATTCAAAAGCTCTTTTTCTAGGATTTTCTACGTATTGATAAAAAAAACTCGGCAATGTCTCAGGCAATAAGTCGCAAGACACTGTTGAGCAATAACGAGAGATTCTGGAAATTCGCGTTTGTTGTTGAACGCCATGATACTCAGCATTAGGACTCATCGTCACAAAATCCGAGGTTATTGATCAGTTATACGAGACGAAAGAGCGAAAGAGACCTTCCAACTGTGCACCTTTAAAGCGATGTATGTGATCCCAACATGTCAATTTTCAACCTGACAGGGGACTGTAGGACAACATCATATATTATGTTACTCACTGGTTGGATTATTATGTGTTATCCAGAAACCTCTTAGGAATTTCAGGACATTGATATCATCCTCACAGGCCAGAGTCGTGTACCAAAAGGCAGCAGCTGCGCTAAGCAGATGTTTGTTTTCAGGAAAGAGAGCCTGACTGAAAGAGTAGAGACCTGCCCAAAAAGAGGTCAGAAACGCTAAGCAGCACAAGACTAA